CCAGGGGAGCACTGGCAGGGGGAGCAGTTGGGGGTCACCAGAAGGGATCCAGGCTCTGGAGCACAGGGGGAGAAACGAGGGGACACCAACACCCAGAGGGCAGCAGGCAGAAAAGGGGGCACACCTGAGGGGACACCCGTACTCTGGGGGTTTCTGGGAAATTTGGGGGACTGGGTACGGAGGGACTGGGACAGCTCTGGGCTGTGGATGCTGGGGGGACACAGACACGAGGAGATCTGAGGGGCACAGGGGGACACTGGCACTTCTGGGTGACAGGGCACCAGGGGAATGGCACCCATTCTGGCCTGGGGGTCCCAGGGGACCAGACACCAACAGACTGGGGGGCATTGGAGAGACTGGGGGTCCCTGGGCACGGAGGGGACACTGTACTGGCTCCAGAGGGGCTGTGACACCCACCCTTGCCAGGATGAGGGTCTGTGAGATGAGGGGCCTGGCCTCCACCCCACATTCTTGGGATCTCTGAGCGTCTCCATGGGACTGGGGGTCTCCAGCCCCCATCCTCATGTCTGGGGGGTTCCCAACCTGGGGGAGGAGGTGAGCTCTGTGCCCTTGGGTCACACCACGGGACTCCTGTGGCTCCTGGCTGGTGCTGGGCCATGGGTGAGTGCTGACAGCCCTGGGGTCCTGGAACGCTGCCCCCTCTGCCCAGCAGTGCACCCCAGCCCCCTCCGTACCTGAGGCCTTGCTGGCACCTCGGTGGGTTGGCGGTGTGCCGTGTGCCAGGGTGCTCCTGGGGAGCTCCTGGGGCATGCCCCTGGCTCTACTCAAGGCCTGCCGCCTGTGCCAGCACCTGGACCTTGATGTGGTTGTGGGGTGGCGGTGACGGCACCTCAACTCGAAGCTTTTCTGTGCCCCGAGAGTCCATGGCAGAACCAGGAGTGCACCGTGAGCTGACCTGCCCTGGCCTGGGGCTGCCGTGTGCCGGTGCCATGTGCAGGTGCCAGGCACGCAGCCTCCATGGCAGCACTGCTGCCCTTCCCCGTGGACGGGGGCAAATGTGGTTTCCCATCCATGGGGGCACAGCGTGGCCATGGGCACCGGCTCCCCACCATGAAGCTGGGCTGGCGAACAGCACCAGGGCACAGCACTGGGAGAACATGTGGTGCCACAGGGCTGGGGGGCATGTCAGGGCACCAGGGTGGGTGACAGGGGGCTGCAGCTGGCGTCATGGTGCGGGTGCCTGGGGAAGGGGTGTCTGTCACTGGTGTTTCCCACTGCCCAGTGAGGGGGTTGTGGGTGCCACACGGCTGTGCCACAGGTTGGGACCACACAGCCTCGCAAAGCCCATCATGGGGATGCCACGGTGGGTGACAGAACCCCGACAAGGACACTGGGAATCCCTGGTGCTGCGATCCCACCCATTGCCAGCGAGTGGGTGGCCAGGGCTGTGAAGCCATTGGCCCCGGCCACTGCCGGGGCCCTAAAAATAGCTGCGGGGGCAGGAGGAGGAAAGGGAACTGCAGCGGGATCCCGGCAGCGTCGGCTTCCTTTAACCCTCCTGCTGGTGCTCCG